CACAGGTGTTTAAATGGCTTTTTAATGGCCTCCAAGGCTGTGATGTGGCAATGAGACACTCAAGCAAACACTTAAGAGAATACAGCCAAGAAGCAGGTGCTGCGTGTGTGTGTGTGTGTGTGCGTATGTGTGTGTGTGTGTGTGTGTGTGTGCGCATGTGTGCACGCATGTGTGTAGTGATGTATGAGCAATGCCTGTGGCACTTTCACAAGAGACGAAAGCACCTGTCACATGACACAATACAGAGAATGGACAGGTGTGGGTTTGTGTCTGTGAGTGAGAATGAGAAAGAGAGAGAGAGAGAGAGAGAGAGGCCGACATTACACCTAAATTGATGAGAGGGCCTATTTAGGTGCTAAATATATTTAGCATTTTGTTTAAACTGTGGGAATAAAGTAGTTTTTTTCTTCATACTTATTGTACAAATACTTCTGGAACCTGATTTGGATTTTATTGAATATGTTAATGAGTAGCGGTAAACGTGGCTTTGTCCTTTGAAGCAGGGAGAATGGCGTGTTTCACTGGTTTACCACAGTAGGAAACAAGTTGTTAGCTATTTGTGGTAGCCGGGCCTCAGTGACTCAACTGATCTAATTTGAGGTCTGTTGCAGCTACAGTATTTATTGACAGCAGAAGAAAACTATTTGTTCTGTTCAGATGGCGAGCTGCTTGTTTGTGCCATATGGTGACTATTGCTGTTCACATCTGAAGCTCCTTGACACTGATGCTACTGTGCAGTAGGTGACATGCAGAGACATTTTTTGTGTGTCATCATAGCTGGATGATACCTGCATCGCTCTGTTTAAATGCAAAATCCAACATAGGATATATCTTATCTCATTCGTCACCCGTATAACCTTTATAAACATAGAAAAATGTAACTGGTAATTCAACTTTCCACTTTGGCTATGAGATGCATTGGGTTACAGTTTGGTGAATTACTTGGCTCCTCACGTAAAACACCAGTCAAAAGGACAAATATCAGACTGCTGATCTTTTTCTGAAAGCCATAACTTGTTGGGCTGATTTCCTCCTTCCCGGCAGTAATTACACCATTATACCATTATATCATTATACCCTAACGGCCTTGTAATATTACACTATTGCTGAGGCTGGTTTGATGATGATTGTTGCTGAAGGAAGCTCTGACGTCCAGGACTTGACAGCCAAACAACAACCTTTGTAATGCATGAAACTAGCAAACTGAATTTACCTTATAAAATGTAGGTCCACTAAGTAAGTTTAAACTGGTTTTAGATTCCGTGTCTTGCTCAAGGGCACATCAGCAGGTCAGACGGTTGCAGACAAGCTGCTCATCTCAAGGTCAGCTGGGTTGAACAGAGAGTTGTTTCAACACCGGTCACCTCCATCGCCTCTGTACACGCACAAAATACTGCATGCGTGTATATGTAGTTGCAGTGATGCGTACAAGCCCGTGTTTGTTTCCCAGCGAACGCACATGCCAAGTGTGTGGCAAATGTAAAGGTTGTGACCTTGCGGCGCTCGTTCAGTGAGTTCCTGTCATGCCCAGCGTTGTTTGTCACTTCCGTTCTTTTCTAAGTCGAGAGGGTTACACCAAACTCTCAGACCTCTTCTCCCCCCCGTTGGTGAGCGAGAGAAAATAGCAAGGAAGGTGTTTAAGGAGACTCACTCCGGAAACATTCATACTCCACCTGTGAGTCAGTCAATCCTCTGACTTTTGTGTCTGACTTTACCCCATTGGTATACATTTAACAGAGCCATGACAAGAATTTTGGGATGTTTGAACAAAAAGAAAAGTTTTTCACATCTTTATTAGATGGATTTTTCGAGCTTTGGTTAATTTGCAAATCACTTTTTTCGAAAATATACAAACATTTTTGAATGGATCTGGATGATTTGAATTTGAAAGAGCAGCTAAAGTTGGTATTTGTGGGTCTGTGGTGGTTCAGTGGAAACCTTTTACGCAGCATCCCCAGTAACAAGCACCAAATTGAGACACTAAATCAAAAATAAATCAAAATGCTTCCTGGGAATATGTTTATAATTACGATACCGCAGCAACATTTTGAGCACTATTACCCAAAAGTTGTTGCTCTGTACATTTTCAGTTTGTCTGTACTTTTCTTTCCTCAATGAGCTGTGACATGTCAAATGGCACTGTCTGCTCTCCTGATTTAACCTCAGGATAGAGTTAACCAGCAGCTGGAAAAAGTGTCACCCTGGCAAACTTCAGTGGTTTTTGCCACAGAGCACTGAAAGATCATCCTTTATGTACTAGAACAAGGGAATTCCCTATGGCTAAAGGTCAGAGAGTAAAAGAGAGAGGGAGAGAGCTCAGTTGGTGGAAAATGTCAACCACTGTTCGCTGAAAAGTTTAGAAATACTGTAGATTATCCAAATTTAAGGCCTTAAAAATCAATAAAAGACAGTTATTAAGGATTTATGTCCTGCAGTGGAAGCTTTCTTTGCAAAGGGTCGAACTTTGCTTTGTAAGACCCATGCAGGGGATCACTCAGGCTTTGAGGGTGGGGGGTTCGCAGTGGAGCAGCGGGGGGGTGGGGGGGTGACCCTGAGTGAGGAGATCCCCCCTAATGATGTCACCAGACAGGGGTACTGCAGTGCCAGGCAGACAGATGGCGTGGGAGCTGTAGTTTATTTGAAATGACATCTCTTCCCAGGCAAGCAGGGTGGGGGTGGAGGTGATGGCAGCGGTGGAGTCCCTCCCCCGCTGCCGGGAACAGTCCAGAGATCGTCCCAGAGTGCCAGCTCACCCCTCTCAGCAGCTTCAGTGGTACAGCCCCGCCTCGCTCCAGTAGAGCACATGTTGGATGATAGGAGGACATGAATCAGAGAGGGAAGAGAGAGAGTGAGGGAAGAAGCCCAGAGGCAGAAAGCTCAGTCACACAGAGGCAGCTGAAGGACTCTTGATGTACAGAATGAAATGTGGACAGCATGTGGCTTTTTAATTTCAATATAACTGACTAAAGAAGAGGAAATATTTCATCTTTTGGGATTTTTTGAGAAGAAAAACTAAAAGAAAAATTGGTTGCACTACAGGTAAGGAAGATGCTTTCACTGAGTTTGTGATACCATGAGGTAGAGATGTGTATTTTATTTTTTTTGATCTGTGAAGCACTTATTTTTGAAAAGTGCTAAATAAAGTTTATTATTATATATATCAATTCTGATTTGAAGAATTTTCGAAACAGAACTTATTTAATATTCAAATATAAGAAAATGAATATTCAGGATCTAGAAAATATTGAACCAACAATGAAACTTTTACGTGAATTATGAATTAGGTGTAACGCATTGGACTGAACTCCACATGAAATATAATACTAAACCTTGCATTATACTCCCATGATGTTAATCCCAGTGTCATCATTAAAAACAACCACAGGAGCCAACAGTGTTTACAGCTTCCTTGCCTGCCCGCTCGCTCTTGCTGCTGCTGTGGCCGTGAGTTGTTGTTGACATGGGTTTTGAAATAGCTGCGGCCCGAGTGATCCACCATCTGTCCCCAGGGGTTGCTCAATTTGGAACACCCCACACACGAGCCAGCCGCTGTCGTGTATATATGTTGTGTATATCGCTTTGCAAAAAAAAAAAGAAAAAAAAAGCCAGTGTTGGTGTATTACTTTCTTCCTGTAAGCATAAGTGTGACCACAGAATGAGCATGGTGCACGTGTGATTGTTGTGTTTTATGGAAGCCAGTGTCGCGTTTTACAGTTTGAAAAGTTGCCCTGGCCTGTAATTGTAGTGCACATTTGATCTTAACTGTGTGAATTACACTACTGCACACACCCACGATTATGTGTTCACATGCCATAAATGAGTTGTAGTATGTTTTCTTTCCCTCTTTTTTAAAAATATAAATATATTTTATTCACATTCAAATGAAAAAAAATTATATATTAGGGCTCACTGTATGATTTGAATGGAGGTGTCCGTTGCTAGAATAGATCTTGCCCTCAAATCAAATGTGATGACATGAGCTGGGCTATGTGTGTCCAAGAAATTTCAAATGAGTTCTACAGATACTATAAACAGATGGTGATCCCACCCCCCATGCTTAATGTTTTTAATTGCTGTCATCTGGAAAATAACTTTGTAACTTCACTTGATTTCAGTATGAGACTCTTTCACAGGCATAACTACACAACAGTCAGGGTTAATGTGGAAGCCTAAAGACTATTTTGAAAGTTTTCACAGCTAAAGTTACTCTCCATTCCTTCATCTGAGGTGTAGCCAGGCCAAAGGAATTTGGTTTAGTTGTTCCGTTCCTGCCCTGCCCAGTTTGCTACAAGCTACGTGCAGCAGAACATAGATAACACAAATATGCTGTACTTATTTTTATATGCGTACAGTGTCTGTAAAACATTCCTATGAAGAAATATTGTGGATACTGTGATTTGCAGTGTTGTACAATATGTATGCAATCACTCTGCAAATCATGATTCAGCAGCCAGATATTCAAATTGACTTCTTCAAGTCTCCCAGTCCAGCTCAGGGCTTTCAACCTGGCACTGCTGCTCTTCTCTTTGGCTCACACAGACCAGCTGTTTCCGTGTGTTGGACAGGATCCGCCCTGGTTCACGTCAGACCATGTGGGCCTGCACTGACGCAACGTGACAGGGGCTTTGGTCCTGCAAATTGGCTATTAATAGAGCTGGAGGTGCTGTGTTGCTGGCGGCTGGGCTGCACGCTGAACCTCAGGTCAAATAAGATGGGTGCAGAGGGGGGTCACTGTGCCTGTGGTGTGAATGATCCCGTCCTGTGCAAAAATGACTTGATGATTGGAGCCAATGAAATGTAATGAAACCATGTGCATGAAGACAAGATGATTTAAATCACCTCAAGGAGGATTCGTACTTGTCTGAATCATCTACAGAAAGAAACAGACAAATGTGTGTCTCATTGTGTTCTGTGTTTTGATTCTGTGTGTGTTTGGAACTGCATGAAAACATGGATGTAGTTTAATAATTTCCGTATATGTCTCTTTATGTGTCTTTCAGATGTTGTTCATACCCAAGGTCCACTTGATGGAAGCCTATATGCCCGGGTCCGCAAGAAAGACTCCCTGGAGGGAGTTGTCACCATCAACGGCCTCCCAGTCCATGAAAACCCCTTGACCAGTGCCAAGAACTCGTTGCAAAACGCCAACCATCCCCTCCAAACCGCTGACCAGACACTTCCTGTGGCAGGCCACGCCTCCCTCCCTGCTGTCGACCACACCCTCTCCGTAAGCAGCGACTCAGGCAACTCTACCGCATCCATCAAGACCGATCGCACTGATGAGCACAGCCAGTCCGTGCAGAACGCTGTGAACCACAACAACCCGACAGTGACCAACCCCCCACTCAGCCCACAGGAGAAGAGAGAGCTCGATCAGCTTCTGAGCGGCCTTGAGGCGCCGACTCATCAACGGCAAGCCTACCTGTCCACATCCACCAGTCCAGGAGGTGGAGTTCGACACCTGGTCCCGGCACAGGTGCACGTCAACGGGGGCCACACCAGGCTGGTGGGTGCCCCTTCAACTGAGGAGCGGGAGACAGATATTCTAGACGACGAGCTGCCCAATAGCCAAGAGGGCAACAGTGTGGACAGCTTGGGCACAATTTCTTCCCTAGACGGCCAGGCGACACCAGCTGACCTCTACTACCCGTCACAGACACCTGTCAGCGGGCAGAACGACGGGCCGTACCTTGAGAGAGGCGTTCTTGGGGAAAAGTTGACAGAAATGCCTGTGCATGGAGTGCGAACTCCCACGGCGATGCAGGAGAGGTCTGTGGACTCTGCATCACCACAAGGGGGATACAACAACTACCAGAACGGAGGGGGGATGTACCACTCGCAGTCGTTCGGGAATCCGCCACCCAGCAGCCCTGAAACCAATCCTAAACTGATGCCCAGGGCCCCGGAGAGGAGCACCAGTAGCCGAGAGGCCGTTCAAAGAGGTCTCAACACTTGGCACCAGTATAGCCTCCCAGATGATCCGTTCGGCCCTCCTCTCCAGTCAACACATAGCTTGCCCCACTTCCCCACCCCAGCCTCGCAGCGGGACATTGAGCAGTCCATCGAGGCACTCAACATGCTCATGCTTGACCTGGACCCAATCAACTCCCACATGTCCAAGTCCCACAGTGCGCCCCCCGGGGACAACAACCTGAATTCATCACAGGCGCCCTTCTCCCAGACCCTTGCCAGACCCTCGTACCAAGCGGACTCTGCCATCCACGGCTACAACAACTCCGGGTCAGTCAACAATTCCTTTCACCGATCGGCTGGGAGAGTGTCAACGTTGCCCAACCAGAGCCCAGTTATGGAGTCTCCAGTCTATTCTCCCCAGAGGCCCAACGCCAGCTACCAACACCAAAACACCACCCCAACACACACCCCTGAGCCCTACCTCCACCCACGCCAACCAGCCCACCACTACCCCACTGATCCCTCTTCTAATCTGAACCAGCAGGCACCGCTGAAGCCTGTGAACTCATACCCAAGCGGCGGGGTTTCCCACTCCCCAGACCTGCAGGGTTCGTCTCCTTACCCAGGCTACAGTGCTTCCTCTTCCCCTCTCCCCGCTCTCACCCCCCAGCCCAAGGATACCTCTTCTTCCTCCTTGGCCCGAGAGCAAGATGCAGAGGAGGAGACACTAAACTTGGAAGGTCTGGTGGCTCACCGCATCGCTGGTAAGACTTTGAGATATTGTTTTTATTGTTTATAATGTGCCTCATTTCCACAATCAGCCATTAGATATTTACTTAATTAGGGAGAAATCATCCACGTTATGTTATTTGAAGAATTTAATTTAAAGAGTTTTATTTTTTGTAAATAGGCTAAAATGACTTCCATGATCCTGAAAATTATACATAGGCAACATGTGTGAATCCAAAACGACAAGGCTCACTGGAATGAGCACAGACCTAATTTAAAGCTTGAGTCAATAATGTTACAACTTCAGCAGGAAGCATCTTTAGTCCTCTTCACCAAACAGCACGTGAGCAGAGCAGGTTTCAGCAGTTCCTGTTACCGATTCATCATGGGGTGCCGCTCCACAGGAGTGACCTGTGCCCATAAAATTAGCTCTGCAGCATGAAATACGCCAGCGCTGGTGAGAGGGGGAGATAGGATAAGAGTAAGAATAGCCAAGTGGCAGGAGGCTCCTGCTTCCATGCATTGTCTGCATTCATGTTTCCATTCATGTGAAACCGTGTGGAAGCTCCCAGGCGCCTCCCAGTGGAGCAAAGTTGTAAATTCCTCATTTTTAGGTTTGTTAGAGATGGACCTGATGATGCAGAGGTTTTCTGCTGTGTGCTTTTGTAATATTGCTGTTAACATTCTGTAATCTTGAACCTTGTATCACTTAATTGGATTATGAAAAAGATATCATCTCATTTGATAAATATCTTTTCATTTTCTCTTCACTTCATTAGATTCATTTCTGTTTTGATTTTTCTTCTCCTTTTCTGTACAATCCATCTTTTCCGCTCTATGGACAACCCTTCCCACCATTTGCTTCCTCCTCTGCACCTCTCTCCTCTCACCTCCCTCCTCCACCTCCTGCCTCCCACCCACCACCCTGACCTCCCTCCCCGGGAACAGAGTACAACGCTCGTATTCGGGGCATCAGTGAAAGCATTACACCGCAACAATCTGACCGCCATCGCTCCTATTCCTTCTCTGGTTTGTCCACTTTCCCTCGCTTTTAATTTCTGACATTTTTAGTTCCTGCATTTGTTGAATCCTTCTCTGCTTCCCAGCCATTTTTCAAAACTTTTTAAGATCTTTTATGATTATTTTCTTCATCAGTTCCTGTTTCTGCTCTATTTGTCCCTTTACACTGCTTTTTCTATTCCTTCTACATCACATATTTACACTTTAAACCTCTTCTCCACTTTTGATGGCGTACTTCCTGAAAAATATTGCTGAATGTTAATAAAGTGTTACACAAGAAGTATAAAAAGCAGTTTGGAAAACATACTTCATGAGTTGACAGTTCCGCACAGTGAATATTTTGGGGTGTTGCAGGAGTTCGCTCCAGAGGGATGACCCCAGAAGTGACGCAAGAGATGGGCCGGCGTCGGACCACCAGCGAGGGACAGTACCAGAGCGGCCATGACAATCCGCCGACAAGTCATTCACCAGACTTTGCCAACAACCTGGCCCTTAACCCAGGAGGAAGACCCAGAGAGGTGCAGTATTCAGCCTAATGGTCCAACCATGTGCACATCATGGGAACCGTGTACTGCCTGCAGACGCTGTTTAACCTTTTACACTCTCATCTCATTCAGCTCGAGGCAAAATGCACAACTGTTGAAAATAACCAAGAGAGGGTTGTGCTTCAGTCTGTGTCTGATTGTGCTTAGAGAAGCCTTCTTTGCTAATAGAGATTCATTTTCACATAAAAATATTTCCCTCTTCAGGTTTTTGTTACTGATTTATTAAATTAACTCAAATTTTCTCTGTCTTTCAAGGGTCCCATGCACAGCTACCGGGAGGCGTTTGAGGACGACAAGGCGGACGGTTTCAACAGTCCAACTTTTGGAGGCGGTGGTGAGAATTCTCCACAGACCCCCAGCTTCCCCGTGTCGCCACAGACTCCTTACTTCAACATGTGTAGGTCCACTCTGTCTGCAGACAGGGGGCGCTGTTTAAATCCTCTAAGCACTGACTCTTACCTCTCTGTTGTCTGTCTGTAATTGTTAAAAAAAATGACTTAATGAGTGAAAAGACAGATGAGAAAAGCCAGGAAAGAATTATATAATGACAGCAAGAAAACAAATGTTTATTTATTTTATTCAAATTTTTTATCTATCTTTATTCTGACCCTAGTTCATCACCAGTTTAGTTCTACAAAACAAAACACAAAATAAAAGAAAAAAAGGATAAAACACAGAAAAAAATAATTAAATAAAAGGGGTGTGTTATACAAATACATGGATTCACACCAAAAAATAAAAGGATCACAGTGCTAAAGATTAAGTAAAACCCGGCCTTGTAGCAGCAAACTACTTCACAAAACCTGTCCAAAGTTTAACTATAACAAATCAACCTATAAACCAACCATTTCACAACGTAACCTCTCAGTAGCAAATAAAATGGAGTCTCTCCTCGCAGTCATGAACCTCCCATACACTTTGATTCACACCTGCAGTTGCTTGACTTACTCCAGGAATATTCAGCTCAGTATTTGCTGTAGTTTTCATGACGGACCCTGTGTTATGAGTGTGAACCGCTCCTGTTCCCTCTGTGGCATTAGTGACCAGAGGAGAGCCCGTACTGCTACTCTGTTTCCCTCCCATCACGTGTAAGGCAGCACACCGCAGGTTGGCTTTCGGACATGCAGGCTTGTTCCCCTGACCCCAGGCCTCGTAATCCAGCGGCCGTCTGTCCACCCACAGCCAGTGTCCAGAGAAGAAATGCAGACCTATCCAGACGCGTTCTGTGGTGACATTTTTTCCTAACTCTTTCTGGATCAGCAGCATCTCTGTCTCTGACCCCACGCTGGCCAGGTCGCGGTGATACTCCCTGCAGTAATCCAAAGCTTCCTTCCACATCTTCCTCTCCCTCACCACAACCACCCTGTAGCAGAAGAAGGGCTCTTCAAAGTCTGCTTCTGCATCGTACATCCTGTTGTAATGAATCATAACGTAGTCTTCATGCTGTCGGTTGTCGGGCTCACCCAGTGCCCAGAAAAATGTGGACACCTCGCCTCCGCCTGACCACATCCATTTCAAAATGTCTGTGGAATCTCTTTCCATTCCGATCCAGAAGTAGTCCTCGCTCTCATCGACAAGCCTCTCAAGTTGGTAGATGTCGTGTTTATTGCTGACAGGAGCCAGGTCTGTATAGAACATCTGACAGTACTTCTGAGCTTCATGCCAGGTCTTTTTTTGCTCGATGTAGACGTACTTGCCAAAAGCTAAGCTCAGCAGGAGCAAGACGCAGGCGAGGCTCTGATCCATCACTGTCTTGTGAGTCCTGCAGGAAAGTGAGGATGCAAACAGATTTTTTTTTTTTTTTTTTAAAGTACATGCTGCAGGTTGAGGGTATTTGCATAAGGTGGACCATCTCCTCCACTGAACCATTCTGTCTGCAGGGATGAAATGAAAACAACAGCTGATCACTGCTACAGTAGTTTAATGAACATTTTCAGCTTGTGAGCCGAGCTGCAGTGATTAGCTGATTAATCAATTGTTTTTGAGGTGAAAGCCTTAGCCAATGGTTTTGTTTCAGCAAGTAAAGAGGAGTTTTGATAGTCCCAGTGTTGTAAAAGTTTTGGAAACATTTAAATCACACTGCACCTTCCACAGCACTCAAAAAACACATTTTGAATTTGCTTCAGGCAAAACCTAAATATTGCATGACTTGGCAGCAAACAATAGCACAGAGCAGGTGTGTGCAAATCATGGTTTTGAATGGCAAGAGGAAATCATTTGTCAACATGTCATGTTTTTCTTTGGGAAGCAAATTTAGGAAATACAAATGTAAAGAGAAGTGGATGAAAAGGGAAATTATGTTCACTCATTTTTGCATTCTCTCCTTCTTTTCTCGTTTCCCTCCTCTTTCTTTCTTTTACTGGCAATATTTAAAGGAAGATGAGTGCTTATTGAAAAGTGAAAGGAGGCCACACACACACACACACACACCCACTCACACATCTAATCAAATGTATTACTAATTCAACCAAACCCCTTGAGACATTAGATTTGGAGACACCCCACTCAGTCACAGCACTGACGACCATCCTGTTCAGCGGGTCTGTGAACCGGACACCTTTGTGAACCAGCTCTGCCCTCCTCCCCCAACCCCCCCACCTGCAGTCGGTCCTGAACACACAGCTGTTGCAGTAACAATCTGCTCTGTCGCACACAAAACGTCATATTTACCATCCTCACCCTCGCCACCATCCGTGAGACTCCCCGTCATGCTGTAGAGTTGGATTAATGAAACTGAAGAGTTCATTTCACCTCAGCTGTTTAGCTGCAGAATAAAACTACATCGGTGTGTTTCGATCTGTCCGGCCTTTCATTTCAGAAATAACTCTTCAGTTTTCTGACAACTTTCGTGTGTCTCTTCCACCACGCATAAAAACATTAATACGTCAACCTTCGTCAACCTTCAACCTTTATCCAGTGTCGCAAACTCTTCCAGTCTCAGTCTATGTGAAACCCAGTCATTGTTTGAGTGACAGCATGCTATAAATCCTCTCACATTTTCATGACTATGTACAGTACTTGTGTTGTGGTGGGATGCTCATTGACTCATTTTCAGCTGCATCTTTTCGGACAAATTCCATTTTGATTATGGAAGTGAATCCCTCTCTTATAAATGAGGATACTGATACTGTACCTGAAGCTAATGCAACAAATAATACATTATCCTTAAGTCTATATATACAAGAATGTACCGCACAGTACAGTTTCCTGTGACTTTGTTGCACTTTACCTATTTCAATTTGTACAACTAATGTGTGAATATTTGATGACAAGCTCTGTAATGTTAATTAGGCTTATTCCATCATTCTACTTGTACATCTTCGAGTGCAAGGATCAGCTGAATATCTAAAAAAGAAAAACACTTCAGTGCTTGAACTAAAAATACCTTAACCAAGTCCACTTCAAAAATGTAGATCCAGCATCATGTTGTGGAGAATTTTGTCTTTTCATACCCTTGCATGGCTTGTTATACTCTACCCATCTCACTGTCATCTTGTTATGCAGTTATATATGTCATGCCATGTGTTTCACTCCTTTTTGCTTGTGTGTCTGTCTGTAGCTCGCTCTCCTCCAGGTCTGGCCAAGACTCCTTTGTCAACGCTGGGACTGAAGCCACATCAACACGGTGGATCAGGTCAGTTTACACGCATCAGACATGGTATTCAGATCTTAACTGATACTAGGTCTCGGTAAAGAATTGAAACATTAGATTCCACAAGTAAATGTCCTGTTTGTTTTCCTTTGGGTGATCCAGTTATTATCCATGAGATTTTAAAGGTGTAATATAGACATATACTTCAACTTGTTCTTGCTTTTTCTTGATTTACACCAAATTATGAACATAACATCATAATGATCCAAATTAGATCATTTTAACAACGTCAAGGAAAACAAAAGGAATAGTCAATATACAGAAGCTTTGACTTCAGCTGCTGCCAGTGCATTGCAGCATCACTGCATTATGTCATACTGTAGCTCTGTAGCTGAGTGAGCAGAAAGTGGCTCCATCTGTGAGTCTCTGCTGCCCTCTGGTGCTCACATCTGTTCTTACTCCTGGAAACACTCCCACTGAATGCTAATAGCTGACACACACCCTTCAGTTCTTGCTTTCCACTCAAGTTTGTCTTCCTTGTCTCCTTCCTCTTCCACACATCTTCTCCTCTTCTTCCTCCTCCCCTCGCTTTCTATCTCTTCTCGCTGTTAGACTCTGATTCTAATGATGGAGAGCAAGGTAAGGGCATTTCTGTGGAAATATACCATAAGCGCCTCTGCACCCGACGCCAGCACAGCCTCCTGACCGCTACACTTTTTCTTTTTTTAATATTTGTGTGTTTCACTGCAACCAAATGTTTTCCTTTTCAGTTGTGCATCCCAGATTTCGACCGAATGTTTTGTTCTATTACGACTGACTTTTGACTGAACCATTTTCTATTTCTGTCACACCAACTCCAACGCCTGATAACTGCATCCCGTTAGGTTCTGTCAGGTTGTGTGAAACACTAAGTAGAGACTGACAGTGTTTGTGTGTTCTGATGCTTTGTGATCCTCAGATAATCGCAGTTTTGGGGACTCCAGAGCACAAGCGTTCAACACTCCTCTCTCCTCCAGCAGTCCAATTCACAGCACTGATGGGTGAGAGCATTTGTCCTTTTTCTCTTAGTTTTATTGTTGAAGATCAGCTGCAGATCAATGGGGAGCACATGTTCTTAAAAAGTCACTGAGCTGGTTCAAAGATGGTGAAGTAACAAAACTGCATCCATTTTTGCTTTCGTCTGCAGAAGGAGGATTGGATCTTCGGATGCCCCCCCTCACAGCCCCGCCCTCTCCTACCCCCACAGACCAGCTTCCCCCGAGGGCTCCCAGGTCAACATCATGGGCGTCCACACCGTCCCTGGCAGCCCCAACACCCTCCACCGCACAGTGGCCACCAACACGCCACCAAGCCCCGCCCTACAGAGACGCCTGGGTCAAGCCAGCCCCTCGCTGGCCAGACACCCGCCTCCGGCCGGCGTCCCCTCCAGCCCTCTGATCGGCAGAAGCCCTAAAATAGTAGCCGCTGGTGTGCCTCCCAGCCCCCTGATGGGGCGCCGCACAGCAGCGAGCGGCCACAGCACACCTGATGAGCTGGGGGCTGCTTCTCGCCAGGGGAGCGCCCAGCCGCCCTCCACGCCCGCCTTCCCCGTCTCCCCGCAGCTGCCGGAGAAGAGGCACATGTCGAGTGGAGACGCGGAGAGGATGGACAACAATAACCTGACACCGACACCGGCCAGCGGAGGCAGCACACCAAATCTGTCTGGCACTCACATGCTCCCAGACATCTCCAAGTCCATATATGGTGAGACAGTGAAAGAATGACTTTTTTTTCCAAGCTCGCAGAAGGTTTGTGTCTTCTCCTGTAATCATTGTCTCCTTCCGTCCAAACAGATGGTTATCCAGACATTAAGATGAATGTCAAGTTTGTCCAGGACACCTCCAAGTTCTGGTACAAGCCAGACATCTCCAGAGAGCAAGGTGAGAGTTCCACCTTTCAAACCCACCGTGATGAGTTTATTGATCCCAAAGTGAAAGAGAGTAAAATTGCCATTCTCTGCTTGATTGTGTATTCTCCTTTCATCTTCTCTTTCCTTCTGTTTATCCTCTTTTTCTCCTCCCGTCCACTTTATTTGATCAACGACTCCCGTTCCCCTAATTTTGTTTCCTTTCCAATCCCTCTCGTCTCTCTTTTTTTCTCCTTGTTCTCCTCCTCTCTCCACCTTTCAGCCATCAACCTGTTGAAGGACAGGGAGCCCGGGGCGTTCATCATCAGGGACAGCCATTCCTTCCGCGGGGCCTACGGTCTGGCCATGAAGGTGGCCTGCCCCCCGCCGACTGTCCAACAAAACAAAAAAGGTTGAAAGAAAACTCTTAAGCAGCATTAAGCTTTTAATGCAACCAAATATCTGAGTTTTTGACTAATCCTTGGCCTTGATTTGGTGAATATTTGCATTCATCCAATTTTTTTTTGCAGTTGGCGACTTGACTAACGAGCTGGTGAGGCACTTCCTGATTGAGACGAGCCCTAAGGGCGTCCGTCTGAAGGGTTGTCCCAACGAACCCTACTTTGGTGAGTTTGAGACATCACTTTCATAGCATTTCACTTGATGTCAAAGTGATCCAGTTTAGCAGAGAGTTGATTTTGTGTTTGTAGGTTGTCTCTCTGCCCTGGTGTACCAGCACTCGATGACTCCTCTGGCTCTGCCCTGTAAGCTGATGATCCCCACCAAAGGTCAGCCCGACCCTCTTCTTCACAGTCGCTCAGACATTTTCTTTAAACATTGTTGTAATCTGTAGCAAAATAGTTTTATGACATAACTTTTTTTTTTTTTTATCTTCTCTGTTTTGTTTGTCACTCAAAGACCCAAACGAAGAGGCGTTGGAGCTTGCCACGCCCACTGATCCAGTCGTTGAACTTCTCAAGCAGGGAGCAGGTAAGCATGAAAAGGATCTCGCTTTGTAGAGACAGACAGCAGTTTTTAATATTCTCTTAATGAGGAAACAGGGACAAGAAGAGTGACAACATTTTGATGTTAGAAGTTCCATGTGACAGGATATAATTGTAATTCGAAGCACATTTCATCGGTTTCTACATCAAATCTTTCATACAGCAGTTCCCTTGCTCACACACTTGTCACCTTTACCTTACAGTCCAGAAGGTTCCTGAGGAAGCCCATGGTAAATAATGCACTGTTCTGCTCTGTCATGCACTTTGACTGAATGTGAATGCGGTGATGCCTGCTCTCACAGAAACAAGTTTTTCCTCCATTTTTACCTGCTGCACAGACCAACTTAGATTTTGTCTTAAAGGAAAAAACGACATGTTTTTAGGAAAGGGTTTAAAAGCATGTGTGTTAAACTGAAAACGGACTGTTCAAATATTCCCAATGTGAAAGATCTTACTGTATTTGTTACCAGCTGTGCAGAGCATGAGAAACACTGTAAGCTTGTCCTCACTGCAGCCTCCATCCTCTGCATGCACACGTTTTCCTCTTGTATCTGTTGTTAACTAACAGTGACTCTGTTTCACTTCTAGCGTGCAATGTCCTCTACATCAACTCTGTCGACATGGAATCTCTCACGGGGCCTCAGGCCATTGCCAAAGCGATCAGTCAGACGCTGGCGACCAACCCTCTGCCCGCTGCGACCACCGTCCACTTCAAGGCGTCTGCGCAGGGCATCACGCTCACTGACAGTCAGAGGAAGTGAGTAAACACACGCAAGACTCAGTAGCTGCAACACGACTGCTTAGGTGGCTGATGTTTAACCATACGTTAAATCTGTGTGGCCCCTGCATGTTTATTCTCAATACCCATGAAAATGTGTGTGTTTCTCCCACTGCAGACTTTTCTTCAGGCGACATTATCCCATCAACACGATAACCTACTGTGACACTGATCCCCAGGACAGAAAGTAAGAACCTTCAAGACCCTTTTGTGCAAATATCTAAACACACATTTGGTTTTTGATTTATGAACAAATATTTCTTTCGTTTTCTTTCCTTAGATGGGGCAAAGAAGGAGGTGGCTCAGTGAAGTAAGTTAAAATATTTAATGGTTGGAAGACAGATGTGAATACATCTTGGTTTCCTTTTCTCAGGTTATTCTGTTGGACATATTTTACCATTATGGTGCCTAAATACCAGCAAAAAAAATACTAAACACAGATGTGTTTTGTTTGTTTGTTTTTTTAATTCAAGGCTTTTCGGATTCGTCGCAAGGAAACAAGGAAGCACAACAGACAATGTCAGCCACCTGTTCGCTGAGCTGGACATAGACCAGCCCGCCTCCGCCATCGTCAGCTTTGTCTCCAAGATGATGAAACGGTGAAACCCCCCAGCGTGTAAATGGCGGTGGCCATTTAGAAATCTTCGTCTGCGTCTTTTTGGCCAGGACTGGATGGCGTCCCCTTTTTTTTTCTGTTTCCTGTTGGTTTGTTTCTGTTTCCTTCCTCTCTTTTTTTCTCTCTGCCTTGCTGGTTTGTCTTGACTTTGGTCTTTTTTGGAAGAGTCTATTTGAAGGATTTGGTGTGGATCCAAAGTGGCGCTAGAGGATGTGTGGTGTGGAGCTGTGAACGTGACAAACATGGAGGCCATTGAAGGGAGAGAATTTATTCACAGGGTAACCTGTACTAAAAGAAAATGCTAGCTAAAGACTAAAGGAACAATGCTAAGTTTAGTCGGGGAACATGTAAGGACTTGTATGTTTCAGGGTTTTCTGTTGTCGTTTTGATTGATTTGATTTACCAAAGGTAGTTGCAATACAAGTGCAAGAATGATGTAGCTATTAAGCCATTATTATTTCCTCTTTTCAAAAGATGAAGTGTTGAACAAAACAAAAAAAAAAAAAGAAAAGAAATACGGTTTCTTCTTGAACTTGTCTTCAGGAAAAAAGTTGGCCTTGATGGCTTTTAGCAAAACAGTGTCTGAAGACCTTATGCATGTTAGCTTGATCTTTAAGCTTGGTTCTTCTACCTTCCACAAAAGTCATTGTGAAATCCTTAGAGTGGTCTTTTCCAGGTCTGTTGTGTGTTGGAAAGGGCTCTGCAGTGAAACAATGACTGATCTAAACTGCGCATAGCAGACCAGACTCAAACCCCCCCCCCCCCCCCGCCCCCGCCACGCTAAGGTCACCGCACTTTGTGTCAGTGCAGCCACACTTGCATCACCTCGGCCTCTGGTCCAAGCCCGATCGCTCTCTCTCTCCCTTTCTCTCTCAAAACCCGCTTATTGGATTACTCTCGCCTGAAATCAGCAAGCTCCTGATAGCATGGCAGACGGAGAGAGGAAGACTGTTTTGTCCACAAGATGGCGCCACTCATTCAGGCTTGGACCCTACCCTCCTCCTCTCCCCCCCTCCCTCCCCCAGCGTCACATAGACCTGCCCATCACCAACTGCTTGCATTAGTGGATCTGTTGATAGACGCTGCCACTGAAACACACTGGAAATCACCAGGGACTGGCCCAATGACCTGGACCTATGCACTGTTCTTTATGCATGTTGTTGTCCCAAAATGTACCCTCCCTCATAGCTACATTCAACATCACTGAAAACATTCTATGCTGTGTGCTAAAAACGACTTAAAAACCTTTAGACAAGTACACTGAGGTTGTATGACTTGTCAAAGACTGCATGAAATAGACAACATTTTTGTACTCTCCTCAGAGTCCTGAAAAGAAGTAGACAACCCATTGTTGAAGTAGTCACATGATGGTGAGATGTTCTATTTTTACTTTTTTTTTTTTTTTTTTTTTTTTAATTTTGGTCCATTTGAGCCAGGGTTACCTTTCACTGTCCGGACAGTCCGGTCTTTGTTTTTTCCACAGTGTCGTCAAAATTTACATTTAGATACGATTTAGGGCAAAGGAAAAGAAAAGAAAAAACAAAAGAACACATGGAGTTTCCACACTGTGTGCAAATGCCTGCTTGTTGAACACACGCTCAACCATTCACAATAAGCTAAGGAAAATTGATATTGATATAAATGTACATAGATATAATACTTTGAAAGGTGACATAGCGAAAAAGTATTTATTTTTGTTGCTTTGGTCCCTCATGATTACTCATATATACATATATTGTACAGTCTAGATAAAGAAGATTACCTAATGGGTTGAGAAAAAAATATATACTTATTTTGGCTAATGATTTCAAAGTCTGACGATTTTGAAATGTGTTTGAATATATGGTGTACATTACTTTGTACATGTATATGTTTGTTTTCGGCTCGTCATGTTTTTCATTTTCGCGTTCTCTCAGAACGAGGTAGGGCATGAATGAGGTAGAAGCCAAGAGTCTGAATTGCATGGACAGAAGCATCTGAGTGTGTTTCCACGGCTGAGGCACACTCATAGGAGTCAATGCATTGTAGCTGGTAGATACTAAGGTAAAGACATGCCCGTCTTAGAAAAAGGGAAGCACGAAAAAAAAAAAAAGTTGAGAAGCCAACCTCAAATGCAATATGAAAACAGCTGTATGCACCCATGACAGTTAGGATTATGATTTTGCCAAAGATTCAAACACTTTACATCTATTCTGACTGGATGCATGTTGCTTTTTTATGTTCAGCTGCTACTCAGTTCCCATTCTTGTGTTTCACACTCTTAACACTGCAACACCTTGCTCAGCTTTAGCAGCAAATGTAAGAAAGCTGAACCAGCCAGGACACGCAGGAATGGGTGTTTTAAGCTCATGTATGTAACACAGGGGCCCTTGCATTTATACAGCGAGACATTCAGCTGCACATGACTAAAGCGTTTTTTTGATTTGTTTTTACTGGCGTCTCAATGCTAGAAAAATGTGTCCACCTCCGACGCCCGTTCAAGAGAGAACAGGCCTGCTGTGCCCCAATTGGAAGTGTGTAAACAAAGCACTTATATTCACTATACCAAAAGAGGAGTGACATAAATTCCATATGGGTGCCAGTGCTGGAGGTAAATAAAGTTAGACGTGTCTCACACCGTGATGCTAAAGCTCGACAGCTGCAGCTTTGTCAGACTGCCAAAGGTGTCTTCTCCAGCCCTCTCGAAAGTCAACGATTTATTTATTCTTATTTATTCTTTTTTTTTTTTTTTTTTCCTTACATGTTTTTAAAAATCTTGTTTCATCGTCGCATTATCACCACATTATCGCAGTTTTTAACGTTCAGTGTTAACGAACGGGGGAATGTATGGTGGCGCTTTATTGAAAGCAAAGAGGTACAGTGCACTTGATTGACTACTAACAAGCTTAATTTCATTTTTAGTCATTTGGAGAGAAAAAAAAAAACAAAAAATAAATGTCTAAATAAAAAAAATCTAAACCTGCATTGTACCTGTTGGCTTTGAGTCAAGAGTTACCTTGTTTCAGTGAAAAAGAAGAGGTTTCTGTGACCCCTATGTACAGATGGGCTTATATGAATGTGCTACTATGGATGTACACAAGGGTCTCAGATTTTGTTTGCGCTTATCATTTACATTATATTGTCATGGCTTACCTGTTCCTAAGGAGAAAAAAAAAACATTAAAGCAATACAAATCAGTTACATTAAAGCTATGTGGGTGTTCATTTGGTTTTTGTGACTCCATAAATGAGTTTAGAAGAATCTGGATTCATGATTTTACTGCCCAAAGCTTATTTTTGATCATTTCCTTGGTTCACAGTGTTTGATTTCCATTAGTTCAGGCATCAAACATCACTCTCAGTCTCTCATCGCTCAGCTTCTCTGTCAGCTGTGCAGCTCCGAGCTCCAGTCGCCTCGTTAGGTTGAATGTGCAGCACCTTGGGGAAGTTTATTTCACTCTGCATGTGCTTCCAGTGTTGTTGGGGAGGGTGAGCTTTAGTGAAAGTACTTGAAATGTGGTGTAAGATAAAAGCAAGGTGTTGGACACAGTTGAATAAGAAAAGCCTCTGAAAATTAAAACCTCCTCCTCATATGAAACAGATTTGCATAAGAGTTGAAGGCACATGTGACCGTTGGTTCACCCGCTGCCCTCCTCACCTTTACTTCCCGCCACGTTATTTTACTGTCAAACGACTGCCTGTTTTAGTTGGTGCTTCCTCCAGTGTGATCCTTTTGTGACAGGGAAGCTGATTTACCTCTTTAATTCTCTTAATTATTTGCTTTTTTACCACATATTGCTCATTAAGCCGAGCTGCAGGTGAGCAGGTCAGAGCGTGCACACAAGCCACAAGACATTTTGACATGTCACAGGAGGGAAAGCGCAGGTTTGAACACTGAAATGAACAATGGCTGACTTCAGTATCACAGCCCTAGTATCGTGCACGCTGGCTCACTGTCACGCAAGTCAGGTTTCCAAGCAAAATACTGCAACTGAGATGTAAAGACATGAGGAGAAAGAGTCAAATGATGGAGAACATGGCAGGAAAATGACATTTCTGTTTGCTTCATGTGATCACTTGAAGAGTATTTCATGACTTAAGTCTGTTTCCATTTGTTGCCTTTTTTATCAGTTCACCAACGTTTCTACCTCAGCCAAGTGTAAAAACCTTTGTGCGATTTTTCTACTTTTTTACCGTGCAAATTCAAAAGACACAAAAAGGTGAATGGAAACACACTTAATGCTGCAGCTTGCTGGGACACTCGAATGGCACAGAGCCATCGTTAATGTGGTGAAAATTATGGAAACATTGGTATGAACCATTACACAATGACAACACCAATCATCAATAATTTAGCAGTTTTTAATATTTATTGATCTGAGGTCGAATCTTTTTGGCTTTTTACCTTCAAGCCTCCAATAAATCAAATCATGCATCAGACAAGTCCAAGTTGAGTTACAAGTCCTCATTTTTGTGACTCAAGTTTAAATTGAAGTCTGAAGCCTACAAATGTTTCTCTTGATTTATGTTTTGTATTGGTAGCTATCGGTTGTTGTTGTTATGAATCAAATTCCGCATCTGAACAACCTACTAATTTGGAAGTAGGTAACAAAATGAGTTTGAACCACAAACAGAAAATAAAATACTGCAGAGCTACTCTGTCGTACAACGGCAAATAAATCGACAACAGATGTGTGAGGCTGAGCCACTGGGGGAGATCCAGTCCTACAGAGTCAACAAGGCAGTTCCCCAAGCAGTAGCCCAGTCTGTTTGTTTGCTCGCTGTTTGTTTCTAAGATTCAGACCCGAGCCCCACCTCGGCCAACACGAACGCCGGAGCCAGGAGAGAGGGACGCAGGCAGTAAAGAAATATAATCAAAACTCTGTGAGGTTCTCACGGCTGCAGACAGTGTTCAAACTCTCAAATATGCATGACACACTTCCCCTCTGACAAATTACGTACGCGCTGTCGCTCTCTCTGCTTCGCCACGGCACATTATGAGCTGTGAGGGAGGCACACGCTCCCACCAAGTGCATCATGGGTCACGTGGCTGGTCTCGATTCGAGTTCATAGACACGACATATGTATGTGTTCACCCTCAGAGTTGACGGATGTAAAGGTATCAGGCTGTGGACGGATTGCACGTTCACGGCCTTGTCTGCAATCGGTGTGATTTGATTTGATTTGGCAACTTTATTTGAACAAGGAAATCCCATTGACACCGAAGTTTCTCTACAAGAGATCCTCTGTGCGCAGAACAAGTTTTGCATTTCAATAACATGAGACAGAGAGCAAACAAAGCAAACTAAAAACACAGAATCTGTCAAGGCAATAAAAACACAGCTACAGTTCAAACGTCAGATCAGCGGCGCGGCGGTTAGCATCCACCCTGATACCGGCTGGTTTGGGGTTCGACCCGCGGCCAAGTCATTGAATTAAAAATCAGGACCATATGCTTCTCTGCTTTGAAATCTGCTTTGAAGGAGGGCTGCTGCGATGGAATGACGTCCAGTCTGAAGGTTGGTGCGTTAAGTTGAGTTTAACGCCAAAGAACAAGCGGCAAGAAAAAGAAGAAGCGGGGGTTCAGCTTGTAGCCTGTGACCCACCGAGGTTCAAATACACCTGACGGAGCATTTCTTACCAACTTTCTTTGTCAAGTAAAACAAGGTTTTCTCCAGCTTGTCTTCAGTTCAAATCTCAGCAATAAAACTTTCAATTTTCGAGGAATCAAACTGCTGATTTATTTGAGTTATAGACCACAATAAGATCTTCCAAAAGTAGATACCCGGCTAGAAGGTCTTGAATACAGGGATGGCCTTTATTATACATTTAAAAAGTAGATTCTTCTTTAAATTTAATGTATTTGCAGAATGACATGTCAGATATTCAAATGAGAGATGCAGCATGGATGTCCCATTACATCTGTGACTAAAAGTGTTTCTGAAGTGTAGTGCAGCATTGTAGTATTGC